GCGGGCCACCGGGGCCGCAGCTTGCTGACCACACGGCATCCTGTGGCGCGCACATGTCACATGTCCCGCGTGTCACACTACAGGCAGGGACCCCGAGCTACCATCCCACACGACCTACCATCACTCTACCATCACTCTACCCGACCCAGATGCCACACACCTGGTCGAAATCCCATCTGCCCCACCTTCAAGGAAATGACTACCTCCGGGGAGCTCCCGAAGTCTCTCCCCCAAGTCCCCCAAGTACAAGCATTCCTATGACCCCTGTCAGCTGTGCATGGACCCCGAGCGTGCACACTATCTGGGACCCCTGAGTCCCCAAATAAATTGCCTGGCACTGTCCCTCAGACTCAGGACTCCCTGAGCAGGCAGCGGTCAGTATTTCAGGGCTGCACTCCACCTTCCCTACTGTGGAAAGCCCCGTGGACCGGCCACAGGGCTCCGCATTTCTCAGGGGTGTTTCTCTGGATGCTGGTCCCAAAGAGGTCCGTGGTTAGAACCTGTAAATTCGAGAAATGCTGTCTCCACGCTCCCCTCCCCCATGCACCAGTGTCGCCAAGCAAGATAAAGTCTGACTTTTTTGCTAAGACCCAGGATACCATCTCCCTGGGTACTGGAACTTGCCAGCCATGCCTGCTGTGGGGGCAGGCTGGGGGGAGCTGAAAGACATGTGAGTCCCCAGATCCCCTCATACCTTCTGAATTAGATGTCACGGCATGTATTACTCATCGAGGGAAACAAAAAGTTTTCAATTAACAAAGGCTCTGAAAAGTCCTGCAGTGCAGAAACTGGTTTAAACTTACAAATCTTAGTAAGAAATCTGGGTCCTTTCCCAGCCTTAATTCACTACAGCTCGTTGTTCACTTGTTTTTGTTGGGGGTTTCACCTGTTTACATGCAGAAGAAACTTGGAAGCTCTAGTGCAAATCCATCGGTTAACAGAGGAGAAAGCCCAGTCCTGGAACTGGACCAAATTCACACAGGGAGGCAGCCGTGGAATGAGGCCCAGGCCTTGGCCTCCTTCCTCCTCCCAGTCTAGGTCCAATCTCCTGTCACACACCTTCCTCGTCCAAGCCCTGGGTGCCAGAGCCTCTTGCTGGCCTCCCACATGAAGAGAGCGGCTCCTCCCACCAACAGCCAGCTCACTGTGAATATTTCGAACTTGACCAGGAGAATAGGGTGAAGCCTTGGGAAATGAGTTTGTGGTTAATTATTGTCTCATCCAGAAGCTGGGCTCCTAGATTAAACTCCGCAGGTAAGCGGTCAGAGAAGCCAGGGAGATCTGGATCTGAACAGGTCCAGGTCGGGTAGCTGAGTACCTAGCATTCCTGGGGAAGCGGCAGAGATTTGGGGGCCCCACACTCACACAGTTGCACTCGGAATCACACCCTAGCTTGCACACACACACACTTGCCCTCTATAGGCAGGGAGCCAGGCAGGGGGAGCAGGGATGCACCCCTTCCCCTCAGACACCTGTCCCTGGCATCCGCAGCACCAAGGTGGACAGAGGAGATTAATGATTCGTGATCATCCTCTGCGGATTCCCCTCATTCATCTTCTCCCTGTAGCTAAACCAGGAAAGCAGGGCTGCAGCAGAGAGGCACAGTCTACACTCTGTGCGGGGGGGCCCTGGGGCCCAGGCCAGGCTCCTAGCCATCAGCGGTGTTTCTTCCCTAAGCCTCCATTTCCCCATCTGCAGAAGGCAAGTGGTGAGTAATCACTGCCACACCTAGAGAGGAGAGTGGTGTAGGCGCAGAGAAAGTGCCCTGGAGTCCTACATTTGCCTTCTGAGACACCTCCTTGGACAAATTCCTTCCCCTCTGAATTTCTGTAAAATAGCGTAAGAGTTCCGCTCTGTGGGGACACGGTGTGCCCCAGACATGAGGACCCCTCGTCTGTGAAATGGGTACAGGAACCTCGATCTGTCTTCTCTCTGGTTCACCCCAAAACCATTCCCCTGCCTCAAATCAGGCCACACACTCCCCGTCTCCTGCCCCTCACCCAGAGCCTCTGAGCTACACTCTGTGTTCATCAGGGACATTATTTGGGGGGCTTTTGTCATTGTTTTTATTCTTTTTCTTGTACTGAGAGTATTGCCTTTGCAATGAGCTACTATAGCCTCACCTCCCCCCCGTTTTTGTGACAGGGTCTTTCTAAGTCACTAAGTTGCCCGGGCTACCTGGGCTCAAACTTTTGATCCTCCTGCCTCAGCCTCTCAGAATGCTAGGATCAGATTACAGGCGTGCGCTACCACTCCAGGCTAAGCTGTCTTAATTTGGGGGACAGAATCTCTCCACACGTTTCCCAGGCTGTCCTCCAACTCCTGGCCTCAAGCCATCTCCCTGCCCCAGCCTCCCAAGTAGCTGTGAGTACAGGTGCACACCACTGCATGTGGCCGAGGGGTTATCATAAAAACCATCCAATTTTAAAACTTCATTGCCCATCAAACTGGAGCAAACTACAGACTGCCCCTAGGCCCAACAGCTGCCCCATCCCCTCTCCTCCCCTGGTCCCTACTCATCAACGACCATTTCCATCCTGGACACTGTCTGTTTTTTTCCACCTCGGGGCCTTCTTCCAGCCTGTCAACTGCCTGGAGTGCTTGTCCCTCAGCTCGTGGGAAGGATGTTCTTTGAGCTATTCTGGCCTCTGATCAGATGTCACCTTCCCTGGGAAAGGAGCCTGCAGGCAGGGAGTTCCCTGTACCCCTCGAGCCACCTGGCTACCTTCTGGGCACCCGGCATCCCCTGGGGCTGTGACGTTCTAATGCTCTCCTCTTCCACCCAAGAACTGTGCGGTCCTTGGTCAGCCGGAGGGGCTGGAACCTTCCCAGGAGCAGTGGCAGATGAGAGGCTGGAGAAATACGGGGTAGGGGACAAGGCCAAGGCCGTGCTCCTCACGCTCGGGGCTCCCACTCTTAGTGACAATACTGTCATCACTCTCCTCGCCACACCAGCTCAGGCCAGAGAGGCAGAGCCCCTTTTCCACGCAATCCGTTGTCATGGGCTACCTAATTCTCAAAATAGTATCAACCTCTTAGATGTCAGATGTGTCTCCCAATACCGAAGAACGGATTTAGAGACAAAAGAGGTTACGAGTGGGAACGGTTTATTGAAGAAAGCTTCTGAAAGACAGGTGGGGTCCTGAGAGGGGGTGTGGCTGAGGCTGTTTGTCCAAGGGCATTTTATACATCAAAATCGCAAGATGGGTACAACGTGGGTGCTATGGGTCAAATATAGTCACTCTACAGGGTGACAAGTACAGTCGCTTAGCTAATATTGACCCAGTGGACCCAAGGCATAGCAAGGTATATCAATCGGCAAGCGTCATTAACCTTAGCTTGTCTATAACTTGTAGTGGAGAAAGAACAAAGGCATTTTTGGAAAGGGAGGGAGGAAGGGTCCGGATGTTTCGGTCACCTACCTGTGTGTCTGATGCGTGGCTGGGCCCTCTGGGCCAGGTGATGCTACTAACTACAGCATGGTCTCAAGCTGCTGTTTATTTTTAGGGAGGCCTGCACAACTGGCCGTTGTGTTTCGAGGCCTAGCTTTTAGATTCGCCTCCAGCCACAGTTTCGACCTCTCATCTTTTGTAACAACTCCCTTGAGGTCCCATCCCACTCTTGACTGCCTATTAATTTCTACCTCACTTTGCTGTCTATAATACTTTCAGAGGATCAGTCCCCAGCCCTATACCTTCCCCCTTTCCTCTTTGACAAGCTCTGATTGTACCCCAGGGTTTGGGTCTTTGTTTATCGGCTGTGTGGGACGGGGTCCATGGTGAGCCTGGGTTCTCCCCCACCAGCCACGGACCTCACTCACCCTGTGCGGCCATCTTGTCGCCACAGCAGGGCCTGGGCCATTGGGATGCTGGCACAGAGCCTGGCACACAGCGGCTGCTAATTAGGGGATTGGTATGTGGGCCCAGACTGGGCACAGCCCAAGCACTGGCAGCCGCTACATGCACATCCTCAACTGAGTTCATGCGGTGCCATTCGTCCCTTCTCCACCCCCTTCCCAGGATCCCCAAGTACCCTCTATACAAGGGGCCTCCCTAACCCTCACCTGTTCTGGGAGAGAGGGCTGGGAGCAGGGTGTGGGGAGGCCATGGTGTCAGACCACAGAAACTCCGGCCATAAGAACGACCATTTTATAGATGTTGGGGTAACTGAGGCTGCAGTGGCCCCGGTGAGCCCTGGCCTCATCATGGCACAGACAGGAGGGCTGAGGAAGCTGACATGGGAATGTCATGGGAAGCCGCCCTCCAGCATCCTGAGAGCTGGGGACTTTCACAAGGACCACACAGAAGGGTGGCCCTATCCTCCCCTTCCACACCTTACCCACCTCAACAGCCTGGGCCATGGGCAGAGTAGAAATGGTGCCTCATCCACACTGAACTCATGATCTGTGCATGGGGCACAGTGAGGGGTGGGGACTGCGGAAGGCTGGAAAGAGACCCCCAACATGGAACCTAGGCTTCTCTCCTCCATCCCTGAGGGTGGGCCACCCAACCACCTCTCTGCACCTCCATGGCTACTCTGTGCCCAAGGTGGTTGGAGGGAGACTCCCATCCCAGCCAGCCCTTCACCTGAAAGAAGCCAGAGACCCTGCAGCTGAAGCCGCCACCTCCGCAGAGGGTGAGGAGGGCATGCCAGAGGAGTTGGCTGCTGGGGCAGGCTGCCCGGGGCCCAGGATTCCAGAGAAAGGCCCAGGGAACTAACGGGGCTGAGTCATTGGGAAAGGGTGGGCCAGGGCCTCCGGCTCTGAGTCACCAAGGCCTTGCGTGCCTTCCCCGCCACCCATCTGCCGTGGCCGTAGGGTCATTCCAACTGGGTTCAAATCCCAGCCGCTCACTTCAGCGGAGACAGTCAGGGCTGTGTCTGGTGAAAGGACTGGCTGTATGGCGTGTGGTCGGGACAAAGTTGGCCCTCAACAACAGGCTCTGTGTGGCAAATTTCCAGGGTTAGCGACTGAATCGTCTTGATACCACCCCCCACAGGCCCTCCAGTCACTCCATTGTTCAGATGAGCAGACAGGTTTGTCCAGGTCCCACGGCAAGTGCTGTGGAGCTAGGGGTCTTAGTACTCTGTGCCTGTGCCTCTCGCTGCTGCCAGCCCAGCTCTCTCCCCAGTCTGTGCCCAACCCCGTATGTGTCAGACCTACCTGAATCGACCCTGAGAGAGTAGGCACTCCCCTACGGCTTGGCTTAAGTCATTGGCAGCCACAAGAGATGGAAACTCTCTGCACTGCGCACAGACATCAAATAGTACAGGTAAGGAGGAGACGAAAAAGAAAAGGGTGTTTGGGCAGAAGAAACATCACACGCTAAGGCCCTGTGCCCGGAAATCTCACCCCAAGGCGTGCTGGTGCCTTACCTGCTTTCACACGCACTGTTCCATAGCAGCAGCCCTGTTCCCTTCAAGCCGTGACTCAGGAGGGGCGAGGTGAGCTGGCGGTCCTGCTGGAAGGTGGTGGGTGAGTAATGGGCTCGCTGGCGTTCTCCTCGGAAGGGGGAGCTACTGAGGTTGTAATAGATGCCATTAGTTGAGAGGCCAGCCAGGTGCCAGGTTCTGGACTGACCCATCTCAAGCACCCCCTGAAGGGCAGCTGCCTCAGGCACAGTGGAGGAAACCAAAGCTCAGGCAGGGCTGTGGCCAAGCCGCCCCATCCCAATCAGGAATCTGCCTTGCCTCCTTGAAGAGTAAGGGCCCAAGCTGTGGATAGGGAGTTCTGGGTTCAAATCCTTACTCTGCCCCTCTTTTGTGACTGGACTCCAGGAAGTGGACACCTCCTCTCACTGCCTCCTTTTCCCTACCTGTGGGGGCGGGGGCTGAATGGGAGCAGGAGCACAGGCTCGCAGCCAGACTGCTGCATCCTCCCTCTCTCTGGCCTCAGCCTCCTGATCTGTGAATGCAGAGGTAACAGCGTCCCCAGCGGTACTGTTCTGAGGACAAGCAAGGGAATGAGGTCACATGGAGACCTTAGCTCAGGGTCCTGCACGGAGTAGATGTCCTAGACAGTCACCCCTGATACCATAGAGGATGGGGCCCCTCAGATTCCAAAATCCTACACGACATTCAAGTTCTCTCCTGAAATGGTATTATGTTTGTATATGGCTTGCACACATCCTCCAGGTGCCTTAAATCATCTCTAAAATACTTAAAACACTACATGCTATGGAAATACTTGCTCTGCTGTATTGTTTTTAATCTGTATTATCTTTATTGGTGTACAAGGGATAGACCCAAAGGCCTTGTGCATGCTAGGCAAGCATTCTCTCACTGAGCTACATCCTCAGCCCTTTTATATTTTTATTCTGAGACAGGTTCTCTCTAAATCACTAAATTGCCTGGGCTGGTCCAACTTGCAGTCCTCCTGCGTCAGTCTCTAGAATGCTGGGATCACACTGCATGCAGTTATATTGTTATTTTTTATTATGAGTTGTTTTTTGCGGGGGATTCTTTCCATCCAAGTTTGGTTGAATCCATAGAGTGAGAACTGCAGGGCCGGGGATGCAGCTCCGTGGTTCTGCTGCCTGCCTCACAAGCTCAAGGTCCTGAGTTGATCCCTATTATCCAAAAAAAAATAATAAAAAAATAAAAAATCTGACTCCATAGAGTAGGAACTAGGGATGGGAAGGGCTGACTGTATAGTGTTGGCTGTTATAATCCCCAAGACCCTACCTGTTGGGACCACCTTCGACCCTAGCAATTCATGTGACTGCAGGCTTGGCCCGCCCACTGCCTCCTCCCTGCTCATCCTGGCCTGTGCCTGGTCACCTGGGCCCACAGAAACCTCAGACCAGCCCCACCTCCATCAGCACCGCTCGTGCACTTTCTCATCACGGCCTTCTACATGCCTTCCTGTCTCGGCACCCAAGTCCCCTTCTCCCGCCCCACTTAGGCAAAAGAGGAGGACGTTCGGGTTCTTCTGACTCCAGTCCTATTGCTCTCTGGCGCTCACATCAAAACCTGCCCGCTCTTATGTGTTTGTCTGCCCCATAGAATGTCCACCCCTGGGCACAAAGATGCTGCCACCTCCTCCATCGCTGTGTCATTAAAGCTCAGTGCCAGGCAAACAGCTGGCACTCCAGCAGTGTGCGTAAAAACTGCGGACTTCTCAGCGGATGTGTGAAAGGTACATGTCGGCTCCTGATGGCCCACAGTCCGAGCAGAGCTCGTCTGTGACCCCCACAGTTGCACTGAATGAATGAGTAAGTGAGTAAGTGAGTGAATGAAATGCATTCAGTCCCAGTGATTGGGGTCCCAGAGCTCAGAGGACAGAAAGCCAGGGACTCGGGCAAGAATAATAATTCCCAACATTCCGGAGTACTTGTCCCAGGACAGTTTTTCTTTCTTTCCACAGATTAAGACCTTTCGTCCTCACAGCAGCCCATGAGGCATCTGCTGTTACCACCTAGATTTTATAGGTGAGGGATCTGAGGCATAGAGTCAAGTACGTTTCCCCAGGTACCCAGCTGGGGAGTTGGCAGCCAGGGAATTAAGCCTAAAACTCTGGTTCTGAAAGCTTTACTTTCAGCACAGCCCAGCATTGCAAGCAGGAGGGCTTCCCGGGGAGGGGCGGCAGAAGCGGCCCGGAGGAGCGAGCGGATGTCATGTAGGATTTGTGTAGAAGGAAGCTGAGTCTGCCTTGGTGCAGCTGGCATGGGTGGGGCACTGAGGAAGAAGGTTACGTGTGCTATGTATCAATCCACCCAGAAACACAGTGGCAGAAAGAAACCAGCAGCATTTATTTAGCTCGGGAAGCTGTAGTCTGGGCAGGACTCGGTAGGACAGCAGACAGGGTGACAGTTGGGACAGCTGGGACTCCTCGGTCCCCATAGTCTCTGTGTGATCTCTACAGGACAGGCGGTCAGCTTCCTAGCCAGTGGTTTCAAAAATGCATGTCAAAGAGACACAGGGGAAGCCATTGCCTGTTATGATCTGGCCTTGGCTGTCAGCCAGTGTCACTTCTGTTATATTGGTTACAAGGCGACCCAGGCTGGGGGAAGGGAAGACTAAGTGTCCCCAGTTCTCTGGGTGGAGAGCATGTGGGGTGGGAAATACTGCTACAGAGGGTTCTGAAAAATGTGTCATGCCCCGGCAGGTAAGCGAGCTGGGTCAACATGTTGGCCCAGGACTTACTCTGCCTGCACAAGGTGACTTCTGTCTTCAGGGCTTAGGGTGGAGGTGGCAGCCTGGTGTCTCTGATATAAAATATAGTAGGGTACACAGATCTGACACTTGTAGCTCCGTGCATTTTATCTCTGTATATATCCAGGTAACCGCCACGCAGGTCAAGATACTGACCATTTCCAGCCGCCCTCTGATAGCCTCCCCATGGCCCCTCCAGGCAAGACCCCTTCTAGGGGAAACTGACTTCTGTCACCAGGGACTAATTTCACCTCATTAATCACCCAGCATCTGTTAGCATGTGTCTGAATCTTCCATTCACCAGAGCCAGTGAAGCCCCCTCACATAGGCCGATTCATGTATAGATCGCCCATTCCCATAGTCCTCTGTGTGAACAGACTGCTTTATGGGCATTTGAGTACTTCCTGTTTGAGGGCTCTACCTACTCCGTTGCTATTAACATCCATACACACTTCCTTTCACCAATATAGCTCTGCCTCGATGTTGGGCACATACATAGGAACAGGAAGGTTTAGCTGCAGTTTAGGTTTATCTTCAGCCCCAGGGTACCTGCCAAACAGTCTTGTCACACCCTTGTACCATTCCACACAGCCAACAAGTGTGTGAGCTTCCAGTCCACCTCCCACCAACATCTGAGTTGTGGGTATTTTCAGTGTAACTCCATCTATTGGAAATAAAGTGGAAGCCAGCTTTTTTTTTTTTTATTGAGTTTATTGGTACATTTAGGGATACAGTACAGTTACATTCATTGTTGGGATCATGTACCTTTACATGGCAAGTCTTGATTCTCATTTTTTTCCCCTTACCTCTGCCCTCCCTTCACCCCCTCCTCCCCTCCCCATCTACAAACACTTTATTTTCATCTTTTCATTCTCTCACATTTTTTTCTTTTCCCTTTTTGTTCTTCCCCTACGTATCACACCTTCCCTACACCCTTAGCTCCTTTCCTCCCATTTCTAAATGTCAGTAATCTTATTAGAATCTTATGCATTGTTGCAGAATATTCACACCAGGGAAACTATTTGGTATTTACACATGTGGGACTTATTTATTTCACTTAGGAGTATATCTTCAATATGTATCCATTTTCCTATGAATGAATCTATTCTCTCGCTCTTTATGGCTGAGTAATATTCCATTTTATAGAAAAACCACAACTTCTTTATCCAGTTTCCAACGGATGGGCAAATAGGTTGTTTCCAAGATTTAGCTATTACAAACTGTGCCGCTATAAACATGGGTGCACATACTTCTCTGTGATATGATTCTTTTAGTTCTCTTGGAAAGATACCCAACAGAGGGATGGCTGGGTCAAATGGAACCTCCAGTCCAAGCTCTTTGAGGTATCTCCATATTGATTTCCATAGTGGTTGCACTAGTCTGCACTCCCACCAACAATGGAGGAGGGTTCCTTTCTCCCCACAACCCCGCCAACATTTGTTATTGTGTGATTTCTTGATAGCAGCCATTCTTTGTGGGGTGAGGTGGAATCTCAGTGTTGTTTTCATCTGCATCTCTCGAATGACCAGTGATGTGGAACATTTTTTCATATATTTTCTTGCTGCTTTCACTTCTTTGTATGAGAAATGTCTGTTCATTTCGGATACCCATTTTTGAATCGGGTCTTTATATTTGGGGGGACTGATTGTTTTGAGTTCTTTATATATCCTTGATAATAGTCCTTTGTCTGAGGTACAGCTGGTAAAAATTTTTTCCCACATTGTAGATTGTCTCTTTTTTTTGACACGAGGTCTCATTATATAGTGAAGACTGGTCTTGAACTCACTGTGTAGCCCAAGCTGTCCTCAAAACTCCCAGCAGTCCTCATGTTTCACAGGGCCAGGGATTTAGCTCAGTGGTTCTGCTGCCTGCTTCGCAAGCACAAGATTTCGTTCAATGTCAGGTACCAAAATTTTTTTATAAAAAACAAAACAAAAAATCCTCCTGTTTCAGCTTCCCAAGTGCTGGGATTACAGGCATACACCGTGCACCTCCACACCTGGCCAGAAAACAGCCTTTTGAATGAAATCTTTCTAAAAGCCACCATTGTGGAAGAGTAGTTAATGGATACACAGTTTTATAAGCATGATTTCATTAACAGAGCAAGACAGAGGAATGTCCTAGGAGATAAGGAGGTGGTGAAAATCCTTTGTAGCTTGGCATGGTGGTGCATCCTGTAATCCGAGCACCTGGGGGGCTGAGGCAGGAGGGTAGTTTCACATCTGAAGCCAGCCTGTCTACAAGGTGAGACCCTCTCTCTAAAAAAAAAAATGAGGCTGAGTGCCCTCTCTGCCTTCCGCTTCTGACGTGCTGTCCCCCGAGCCATTGGATGTGTGGCAAAGATATGTTTCTTCCCATGCCAGCCCGGAAGGCCACTGCCGCGGTTATTTTCCTTTATGGATCGGGAGATACTGGGCCAGTGATGCCTGTA